GTATAAATGGGTACCGGCGAACTTAATGCTGGGGGTAACCCTGCGATGGACTGGCATCCCATCCAGGGGGAGTAGAAATACTCCTAGTTGCTTCATGCTACAGAAACCGGGATAAGCTCTGGCTTGGTGGGCCACTTGGCTCGTATACAGAATGAAGCTTTACTGCCTGTTTATTACAATGTTGTAATGTGGAACATTCTTTTGTAGATCATTGATGACGAAGTCCATGAGGTGAAGACAGATCAAGAAAATGTACGTTAACTCTTAGTTTTTAACAAGTGAAAACAAAAATGCAACACAATATAGGATATTAATAATAATAATAATAATCAATAATAATAATAATCAATCTTTATTTGTACTCATTCTTGCTAAAGAAAAAATTACAAGTCACAGATATTTGCTTGACTTAAGTACCCTCCCCTCAATTAATTGAAGGGGTACATGGAAAAAGACCCCAAGTGACATCTGATAGACTGCAAGATTCTACTAGCAAATTGCTTTTCACTTCCTTGTACAGACAAGGAGAATTTGACATGAGATCAAGAGTCACTTAGGGCTTTCTTCCTTGCACCCCTTCAATTGTCGCAGTCTAAACCAAACAGCAACACCTCCCATTGAATTCAATCAGAAAAAATGTATGTATTAACATTTACAATAGCATTTGAACCTACTTCATCACAAAGTATGTCTAAAACTAAAGAATTGAATGTATTTTCTAAAGTTTCAAATTTAATAATTAACAATTTTATTCTTTGAAATCATGGTGAGTAGTGGCAGAATATTAAAATATAAATTAACTAAATTTTCTGCTGTTATTCACTGAGATTGAAAAGAATAATTGTTTTTGTATACTAACATGAAGTGATCCAAAACAGACCAAAAGAAAACCATCAAAGACAAAGTTAATTGATCTCTCAGTTCAAATTGTGTGGAAAACTTGCAAGCGGCCCAAAGCATGGACAAAGCTATTTACAGAATCTTCAAACCTGGCAAATGTATTTTAACCTTTAAGAAAATCCTCGTCACAATCTAGCTAAATTGTCTTTTAACACTGTTCAAATCAGCAATCTTGATCAAAAGTCTGCTTGGAAAAAAAATTCCTGTTCGACCAAAGTTGCCAATTTCACTTCAAATACTTCGCAAAGGATCAACCTGAAATAATAGTGTGTGCAGGACTAAATAAATAAACTATCTTGCCACTTGTTCAAGAAGATATGTTATTTTTCTACCTTCGTATCTTTTGCATATGTTACCAGTTATCTCGCTTTAATCTACAACAAAACAAATGATCATGCTTAATTCAAGTTTTCTTTGTTTTTCACAAGCAATTTGTTATCTTTATAATTCATCTAGGGAGATGAAAGAGAACAAATTGATACCTCAGACCAAAAGATCGTTCGAAAAAGTGATTCAGAAAGCACAGAGACTGATGACAGTGAGAATGAATCTGAAGACAGTTTTAATTCCTCTGCTCAGTCACCAGTATCAGGAAGTATCAATTACTTTGTAGCACCGCTAGAAAGTTCTGAAACTCAGGCCATGGTAATTGAGGAATTGAATCAGGTAAGGTTGTATAGAAACCCAGTATTCACAGGATCTTTTTTTTGCTAGTCCAAATATAACATTTCTTCAGTGGCGTGACGTCACTACAGTTGCATACCAGGATACCTAGTACACAGGGGGGAGGGGGTGTGGGGGGGGGATTTACTCCCAGGAAAAATGGTTTGGACCCTTACCCTATTTATGACCAAAATCTGCGATTTTCCCTGTCCTATTTATGACATGACAGAAAATTCGAAACCCTATTTATGAACTCATCCTTAAATCAATACCCTGCTTCACACCTGCCTTATAATTAGTTCCTTAGTTCAGATCAATGTTAAATTACTGTAAACATAATTTGTGAAGTGCTTTTTCTGATAGTCTTACCAATAATGATGAATATCTAACTTCCTCTTAAAAACATACCCATGTTAAGACTAGAATGCAAAAACCCTACCCTGTATATGACCAAAATGGCCAAAATTTGATACCACATTTATGACCAAAACGGCTGAAAAACCATACCCTTTGGGGCCGCACATACCCACATAGCCCATATAAGGGAGTACCCCCCCCCCCCTCTGGGACCTACTATGACAGAAATCAGCAATCAATCGTCTTAGCTTGGTCATGTTGAAGGTGTTTATTGTTACTAATATTTCTAAATTATCTATATTTTTGAATAAAAAAATTGAGAAAGTTTTAGGTGGATTTAAACTTCCCCTGTTCACGTTTAGTTCCGTGCTGTATTTGAAATCCCACCATCAAGTTCTCTTTTTGCTGATGATCTTCTTTTCATCCTTAATAGAGTTTTGTTTGTATTCTTTTTAGACTACAGTTACTATCCAAAATATAAATAGTGCTTCCCTACACAATCATGAATCAACTTTTGACATTTGTCATGAATAACACTATTTTTGTAAACAGCACAATTACAAATGTCTTTATCATTGAAACAGCTTAAAGAAGAAAATGAAAGGCTTAGAAGAGACCTGCAAGAATCAAACCAAGCAAGAGATGAAGAGAAGAAAAGGTGATAACTAGAACTCCTGCCATTTATTGATTTTAAAGAGGGAGGGAGTGTTAGAATTGACATAACAAGACTGTTTAGCCCATTGACTCCCATGTAGACGGTAACCGGCCGTGACAAGCCTCAGCCTTTGTTCCACTTCTGACATCATTTCCTCTGACCAAAATGGGCATCATCCATGCTCAACATCTGCAGGATGGAAAGATCTTTCCAATGATACCCAGATCAGAGTGATCGGCTCAATGGAGCCTGAAATATGAACGAAAATGCTCAAAAGGTTGAGTGAAAAACTCAGAGTAAAATTTCCTGCAAGTACATGTGGCTACTCCATGGTAAAAATGGCCTGTCTCGATGATGCTTTCTCAAAAGTTTTTAAACTGGAAGCAAGCCCAGTAAAAGGTCAATCACTGGAGCAAAAAGAAAAGAAAAGGAGAAAAAGGAAAGGTGAAAAGAAATTTAAAAAATCGAAAAGCCTAAAGACATAGGTCACTTTCTCCTCCAAATGGGTTTTAATCATTTGATGGGTTTTAATCATTTGACAAGTACTACTCTACAAAATAAAACCATTATAATAGCAAATTATGGCGGACCCAAACTTGCTCATTTTAGATCAATATTTCAGACTGTACTTTGATTTTCAAACWAGAAAAAAAAAATGCACATTGAAAAACTTGGTTCTGCTCTTGGTAAGGTTCTTCACTTTTCTGGCCCATGATTGTAACCCATTTCCCAGGCTGCGCTTGCCCTTGCAAGCAAATATATGGATTAGTGCTTAGCCCAAAAACACAGGTGCTGTTTCTGTAATATTGGTAGGACATTTTGAATGGAGGTTTAACTGTATTTGAATTATTTGCACCATGTCTTTTTTAACAGGGTTGTAAGTTTGCAGAGGAAGCTGGCAAAGATTGAGAAAAGAGAGGCTGATGAAACAGCAGCCCTGGAAAATATGGTACACATGGTTGAGAAAAATCTGGAACTTACTACGGTAATAACCATTTACACTGCTTGAAACTACTGCTTTGCACTGCTTGACTGTGAGAGAAATGTACAAAGAAATGATCTATTATAGTTCAGGTTATTTGTTGTTTTTTCAGCAAAGAGCTCTCAGAGCAGAAGCAACAGTTGCAAAATTAAAGGAAGAAGTAACCATATTAAAGGTAATTTTTATGGCTGACTAAGATCCCTTTTACTCACATTTGAAAATAGAAACAATAAAGAAAGTATTATTATTATAAATTAAGTTACCTAACCTTCTCCCAAATTGTGTCAGCCATCTACAGAGTGAAATAAAATTCACTGAAACAGATTCACTTTTCCTTCAGAAAACCATCAGAAATAACTTGCTCATCCAAAACATGAAGTTCTCGCCTGAAAGATTCCTAAAAATATGAAGAAGTACAGAGCATGTTGGTTGTCCTGTTTCTGTCAGTTGATGCTGCTTAATCCAGAAGTGTCTCTGGCAACATGAGTCATTTGGCAGGAGTGAAACTGTTGCTTGCTGAATATTGAAATATCTCTCTCAAATATCCGAATAATTAACTCTCCTGCTTATCTTGGAGTCCTGAGGGGGGAACTTGCACGTAAAAAGGATGGGATTGCTTTTTGGAAATTTTTAAAAGAACCCCTAAGAGGTTCAAAGGTCCTGCTTTGTGGGTGTGGCGAGCACCCCAGCACTCTTGGTTACAGACTGAATCTTCTGTTCTCCAGTACAGGTCATCAAATCTTCTAGATACCAAGGAAAGTGCATGGAGTTCATTTTTATTCTTTACTTTGTTTTTAGTGTTTTTGGGAGAAAATTATTTGGATATTTGATGCATTTTTGTTGTTGAATGGGTGGAATTCTACTTTCAACAATTTTTTTAGGCTCAAGAAAGCAAACTTGCCAATCTCCTGGATTTTTATTTTATTAGGTTGTTGATTTGAATGCTGCTCTTGTAAATAGCAACAAGTTTATAGCTAAAGCTGGTTTTAACCATGTGAATTGCATTGCAGACTGAGTCTGTTCCCATAGCAACATATAATCAACTCCTGGATGCCAATCACTGTACAATGACAGCTGTCAGAGATAAATCCAGAGCTGCCGCAGATCAAATGAATGTCGCAGCAAAGAATGCAGAGCAGGCAGTAAGGTGAATATTAGGAATAGTTTTTGTTCAGTAAACATCCTGGAAAATCACAGGTTTAAGTTGTTCTGTACCTTCAGTTAGCTGGACTAACTTGACATATGTGCATACTCTCAAGTGTGCAAGCAAACTACACAAAAACCAACAAATCGCAAATAACAACAGTGCATTTACATGCTGTTGCAACAAATGGAAGGATGCAGTTCTTCTACATTCTAAGAGCTGACGTTTCTTGGAATTCCTTTTGCAATTGTAATAACTCTGTTTTGAACAGTGCTACAAGTGATAATTGAGAGAAAAACTTCCTTTCTGCCTTTAGTATTAGCAACTGTTTTTCTCTTGTTGCTTATGCAAGGAAAATGCAGAGATAAGATTTGTGCTAAACAAGTTACTTCTTCCATTTTAGACTGGCATCTGTAAAATGCCAAATTTACAAATTGAAGAGCAGTTTTAATTCTGGAAAGACAATCACATACCTCCTTGTCATGTATTTAAATAACAATGCCGTACTTATGATTAGCTATGCTGAATCTCTTTTCCATTAACCTTTCTTAATTCTTCTTCTTCTTAATTGCTTTTTAGGCAACTGCTATCTGGTGTAGACACACTAAAGTTTATATCACAGCAACTGGACACCATTGACAGAATAACAGAGGTTCATGTTCATCCAGAAGACAGATAACGACAACTTAACTAGTCAGTCTTTTTACAAACAAGTTGGTCCCAAGCCAAACCTGAGTCGGCGATCACTTCTATGAAACAAGGACAACCAGTGTAAACTACATGTTTCAGAGCAAGCTTCTCTTTTTGCAGGGGTGAAATGATTATAAATGTTCATGGATGAGGGATTTCTTTCATCCTGAATGTGGCCTTAAAATTATGATATGAACATGACAGACAGAACCTGGAAGTGACTGAAAGTTTGACAAGTGACTGTTTTTTTCAAAGTTGGTTTCTGATTGGCTGAGGAGTGCCTTGGATTATTGTTCGACAGACAGTCCTGAGAATCTGTAAGCCATATTTCATGGAACATTGCTATGAAAAATTTACTGTCAGGTGATAGAAATTTCAAGCTCATAGCATAACTTGGAAAAAGATGGCCAGTGAATCCATACCTTCTGAAAAGACCACATCAAATTTTGGCGTAAAACTATTAGTTATTTATTCAGGGCAGGAAAAAACCCAGGTTCAATAGGCTGGGGCAAGTAAATTTTGCTCTTGGGCAAGTGAAAATGGTGATGGTCTGGTGAGCAAGTGAAATTAGCCTCAGTAGTCTTGTTACAGTCCATCAGTGATTACAGACGGTACCTAGCAAATGGTGTAGTTGATAAGGCATGAATAGTGTGCACCTATTGGGCAAGTACTATTTTAGTGTGGGAAACTGAAATTTACTGACCCTCTGGGCAACTGGATTTCGATTTTTATCTCCTGCTCTGCTGTCTCTTAGTTGTATTAAGGTATTTTCATATTTATCTGGCACCAAGTCTGTGTTGGAGAAATTCTAGTTTACTTACTTTCCACTTTATCATAGACTACAAAGGAAAGTGTCCATCATTTTTGCAGTGCAATCCATATAAGCTGAAACATTCACTCTCAGCAAAAAGTTGAAGCAAAATTATTGGCCAGACATAACAGGAAAAAGATTCCTGAAACAGGAAACAGTTCTCTCTGGAACAATATTTTAAAGGAAAATATTGGTGAAGCTAATTCACAAGTAGTTGCAAATTTGAACTGCTTAAACATTAGCTTCTTTTCACAAGAGAAGTTTACCAATGTAATAAAATTCAAATGTATTTTCTCATCCTCAATAAACTGATGGTCATGGGGAAAGAAATGAAATTTGTTTTATTTTTCCAAAAAAACTGTCAAAAATTAATTTTAATAATAATAATTGCCATTTTTACATAGTGAATATAACTGTGTGAAGTTGTTCTGCATTGATTGACTAACATCAATGGACTGTTTTTGTTGTGATGTCATTTGAATTACCAGAATTAATCTCAATAAATTGGCATTATTACAGGACACATTTAAATGATCCATTTCAACACAGTGGCTAGGAGTTGCGACAGGCTAAAAGTCAGCCTGCTGGTCTCTGGATCAAGCAATCCGGGTTCGAGCCCTGCCCAGGGTCATTGTGTTGTGCTCTTGGGCAAGACACTGTACTCTCACAGTGCCTCTCTCCACCCAAGTGTATAAATGGTTACTGGCAAATTGAATAATAGGGGGTAGCCCTGGGATGCATCCCATCCAGGGGGGGGGGGTATAAATACTTTGTCACTGTTTTATTTTCTGTGAAATGTGATTTAGTTCCTGCCACTCTTTTACCACCCTGAGTATTCACATCATCAGCAAATAATGTAAGCTAAGGCCCTGATGGTAAATGATTACTTTTGTAAATACAGTTAGTATTAAAGGGCCACAGTCAGCTGGCGCACATGCGCATTAGATTACATTTCATTGCTAATTTGCATATCACAGACATGATCCATACTGTTTTTAACCAAATATGATTAAAAAATAATATCATAGGTGAGCAAAAGCACACTCAAAAACAGATTTTTCAGTAAACGATTGAAAATCAAGCAAAACGATGCGAAGATTGAAGTGGATTTCTAGATGTACTTTGATTTCAGGTTGAGGTGAACTTTTTTCAAAATGAGAAAACTAGTGTCCAGGTCAGTGCAGTCCCAAAGCTGACTGTGTCCCTTTAAACTAAAATCTACTATGTGTTTATTTATGATCTCATAATTTGAACAGTAAATGGTTTATTAAAACACTTGGACTACAGATTTTAGAGTCCATTGTCATAATTTCTGATCGTTTGTTTTCTGGGGATTTGAAATGCTTCTGAATTTTTCTGATGCAGATACAAAGATGTCTCAATGACCTCACATTAAGTATAGGAAATTGTACGAATGTAAGTGCAAGCCATAATGTATCCCACACAATTCCATTGTTTATAAACCAATCAGATACAAGTAGATAACTTATGTGTCTAGTCCAGAATAAAACTGCCACACCAAAGAATAAATTCAATGTTCAATACTAAATTCAATATTTTCCGTGTAAATTCATTGACCTCTTCCATGTATTTTGGGCATTAGTAATTCAACCAACTTTCATATCATGATCTGGCTACAAAAAGGCTGTCATTCTGCTTTAACAAAATTCCAGTCTGTGATTACTGAAATACATGTGGTTGATAAAAAATGAAAATGTACTTAACAGGAGTCAGAAAATACAAAAGGAATTCTGATGAGAAATCTTGCCTATATTGTTACAATTGCGTGTGTGAAAGGCAAATTCTGATTGTTTAGCATACAATGAAATTAATGATGAACATTGTAGCTTGCACATATGTTGAGCCAAGAAACCTTACACTACCAGTGAACTTGAGGAATTCTCTCAAAGTTGCTG